CACCATCACCACCACCACCATCACCACCACCACCACCATCACCATCACCACCATCACCACCATCACCACCATCACCATCACCACCATCACCACCACCACCATCACCACCATCACCACCATCACCATCACCACCATTATCATTTCCATGGGCCACTGGGTAGCCCAAGGAGTCTCATAATCTTTTTGTAAGCAGGAGGGTTACTGTGACTGCAAGTGATAGAAACTGAAGAAAGGCTGGAAAGGAAGAGGGAGATGGAGACAGCGAGCAGGGAGAAGGTGGGCCAGGTGAGGGGAGGAGTGAGGGAGGAATAGTGTGAGCTGGTCGCTCATAGTCAGTTCCTCAGGGTTCACATACATTGGCTCAGCGAGCTCTGCCCACGTTTTGTGTAGGCGTCTTTACCCCCTTCCATAGCTGAGGAGAAGGTGTTTGGCCGGACCAGTTTCTTCTGCACAGCCGGTATGGGGCAGGGCATGGGTCCGACGCAGCTCTCCTGCATATTTGAAGCTTTAGTATCCCAAGACGAGACTGGAGAATTGCCTTCTTCCTAAAGTCGCTAAGGGCCCACTCTTCTTTGCGCTCCGTAAGTTTGATTAAAGCTGTCGGCTGTGTTTACCTCACTTATCTACATGCTTATTCTATTTTTGAGAGGTTTTGTACATATGCAAACGTGCCCAGCATAATTTTCAAACCACCAGGCCTGAGACTCAAACTGTGGTCAGCCGTGTCCGAATCCAGAGCCTTAACTACTAGGTCACCCACTGGCTGCTTACTTAAATCCCCGTTTCCCCTGCACTATGGTAGAAGTCAGGGCTGGACACACCACCCAGCAGGAACAGAGCAGAGACTGAGGCTATCGAAAGGGCGGAATAGATTTTAAAATTGTCTTAAAGGAAATGACCCTCCCTCCCCAGTAATGAAGTAAATAAGGTTTAGGGAGAGGGAGAAGTTGGACAGGAGTAGGGTGTGGGGCAGGTGCACAACCAGACAGACCGACAGGTAAGTCAAACGGTAACTAAATGCTGCCCCTGGGTGTGGGCTTCCCTAGATCAGAGACGAAAACCCCAGGCGTGAGGAGGAGC